GCTGCTTCATTGGCGGAGACGACGACCCAGTTCGAGAGAAAGAGAGAGAGAGGGAAAGGAAAACCGAGCTTCACGAGTTCAATGAGCGAGCGAGGGAGAGAGAGAGAGAGAGAGAGAGAGAGAGAAGGAGAGAAGATGATGCTCGCGGGGGGGTGTTTCAGTTTCCTTTTACGGGCGACGCAGTGTTTGGACACGCAGTTTGAAGGACAGCATTTGGCGAACGACGTTGGCGTTGGCTTGGCTGCCTGTCCTGGTAATTTTTTTTTTTTGTTTTGAACGAACCTGTCCTGGTTGAAAAAGGCTATTCTTTTACATGACGTCGTTGTCTTTGGAAGTTCAACGGACGTTTCAATGGGCAAACTTGCCTTTCTCGGGGAGCGGCGACTTTGCTTCCCTTCCTTACGCATGGAAAGTTCAATCACGCAGCTGATTTGGCCATTAAGGACTCTTTCATCTTAGGGCGCGAACTATGGTCGTTCTCTTCGTTGGAAATTTCTATTCCCTGAATAAGTTTTTGAGCAAAAAAAATAGTGTTTGATAATGACATAAAATTTCTGTTCTCAGAAGAGAAATTCGTCTGATAGGTTGTTCTTAAATTTCTGTTCCCAGCAGGCGGCGGTGGAGGATGACCGGCAGCCGGCGCGATGGGGGGCGGTAAGGGCGAGCAATAAGAGAGTTGTTATTTCTATTTTTTTTCCAAAAATAGAAAAGTAAAAAAAAATATATTTCTCATTTCTATTCTAAATCAATTTTATGGGCTAAAAATTTGTCCTGGAAATAAAAAACAATGAAATCGCGTACCCAAACAGATTTATATTCCAAACATATTTCAAGAAACAAAAAAATAGAAAAACAGATAAACCGAATGGTTATCATTTGCGCCCTTAATCCCCTCCCCATTTGTTCGGAGTGAATCAAGAAATATATTGTTTCCCAAGGGAAAATTACCAAAGAAGTTCTAAACCTATTTAATTCGGTTATATACATTTTTTTTGTTAATTGAGTTTTAAACATTTTGCATTTGTGTCAATTCAGTCCATCCGGTCAATTTTGGCCAGAAATCATTGACATAGACGTCGTCCGGTCTACGTAACACAACCGGCTCTAAAGTGAATAATTTTTAATAGTTTTTTAAATTTTTTCCTTTTCTTTTTCCTTTCCTTTCCTTCCTTTTTTTCTTTTGTTATTCCCCATTGTGGCCGACAAGGGTCACCGGCGCGACCCTCAAGGCCAACCTTGTCGGCCGTGAGCTAAGGCAGCCTCGCCCATGTCTGGTGACCACGGCCGTACCTCGAGATGGTCAAGTGCAGCCGCAAGCAAGGCCAGCCTCGCCAGGGCCTTGCCAACCACGAGCGAAGGTGACCATGTCACGTAGGGTGACCGACATCTATGTCAGTAATATCTGGTCAAAATTGGTCAGATTTACTGAATTGGCACAAATGTAAAAGATTTAAGAGTGGGAAAAAAATGGTTTATGACTGAATCGATACAATTGCAATAGGTTTATGACTTTTTTTGTTATATCCCCCTTTGCTTTTGTACATCAAAATTGTAATCGCTTGTTTATATAGGGTATGATGAATCCTACGAATTTACAAGGGCACGAAATAGACTCTGGTGACCTCGTTTTCGCTAGTGTGAAATCGAGATGAATCAAAAGGCTAAGAAGGCATTTAGTTTTGGCCAGAAATTGGGTAGACCTCGGTGGACCCAACATCAGCTAGAGATCCCTTTTGGATTTTCGCGATGTTCATCACTCGACCTTTGAACAAAATCCAATGACTCCTTCTACGGAATTAACTTTTCATCAGTCACATCTAAGACAATGTCACCTGATTTAGTTGCAACTCGCAAGTTTTTCTTCCATTATGTTATCAACCAGTTTTGGTTACCGGATCTCATTTGAATTGCTTATCAATTTTTATTTGAATAATTTTTTAATTCGCTATTCTTTTTCTACCGAGTTACCGACTTGTCGAGTGGCGGCTCGACGCTACGGGGGTGGCTCTCAATCGCTGCTGTCCCGTGCCGTTCTGTGCAAGGAGAGCGAAAAAGGGGAGGGGAAGAGGGTAGAAGATGGGTTCCGGTGTAGATTTTGGATGCGCACGAGGAGGCGAATGCGTCTTCTCAGGCTCGCGAGACGCGGACCGCAGCCTCCGCAGGTTCCGAAATATGAACGGGGTTATTTGATATGAAGAGCAAAGTCGAGGATGATGGTTGCGGCTCTCCTTAGAATATGATATGTAAATAAACAGACTTAAAATGATTATTAAATCATCTCAACGATCGCAAAAATTGACTCTCGAAGGCCGCGGCCGCCACCGCCACCGCCCCGGTCCAAATGAACTTGTGCTGCTCCTCCAATACACAAATCGAACATCCAACCTCTTCTTGTCCCAATGTCAAACCGCTTTGCGTCTTAATTTATCAAACCTGTCGGAGACATCTGGACGCATGGCGGTGGTCTTCATCTCGTTGAGTAATCTTTATGATTAACGGGTCAAATGACACGATTTCCATGTCCGATTGTTGGTAATGATGTACCGGTTCGTCTTCTGTTGACGGTCAAGCACGTTTTTTAGGGACCATCGAGAAGGTGGGTGAATCTCATTTGGTGTTATCGGGGGAAAATTTCTGGAATGCAAATCGGAACCCAAATCTTTTTCTCGGCTCTGTCGTTTTCGGTCCCCATCTCTTCTTCGTTTTCTCCGGTTTTCTCTGAACGGATGATGCATTCTTGATGGAGATAATGACACAAATGGTCCGTTAATTTTGGTCCAATATGTAATGTGATTCCTGGACTTTACCTCAACGTGCAATATAGTCCCTAAACTTTTAATTTATTCAATATGATCTATATATTTTTTGTACATGTTCAACTTAGTCCCTGAACTTTATGAAAACGTTTAATATTTGTCCTTCAATTAATTCAAGTTCAGGGACAACATTGAGTATTTTTATGTAGTTCAGGGACTAAAATTGAACATGTACCAAAAGTCCGGGGACCACATTGAACAAATCGAAAGTTCAATGACCATATTGTATATTTAGCTACAGTTCAGGGATCATATTGAACATTGGGCGAAAATTCAGTGACTATTTATGTCATTTTTCCCTTCTCAATGTTCCAGGACTTGTTCAACGCGACAGACAACGCAAGTAAACATGCTTGACTGAGCTCTGGTTTGATTTAGCAGAACGGGTCCGGGCATCCATGTGAAGGCAGAAAGGTTATGGTTGCGAGTGGGGCAGCTTTCTAGACCTTGATAGGCATGAAGATGACGTTAGGCAACGCACAAAAATCATTCACACTTCGCTGAATCTGCATAAACACAGTCTTAACGTCCTCGTCTCTGCTGGCTTGAGTGGAAGTTTGACTGTTGACGGAGTCTCTCTGATTGTGATACTGCCCGTTTCAAGATTCTTCTTTTTCGTTGGATGACTGTTTCCAATTTGTGGGAAATTCGTCTGTGCTTGAATGTTCATTTCTGATCTTTCTATGAGTTCATGAAAGCAGAGGAAAGGACGCGCGATTCGGTCAATGTTCAAACGAAAAAGAAAGTCGCTTTTCGTGGTGTCGTTTCTCATTTGCATCGATCGGTTTCTTTCCGTCTACGTCTCAACATGTTGGCCAGGGAAGCTGAGGCAAGTTGTTGGCATGTTTACATTGCAATGGCAATGACACAATTTTCATAACAGTGTAACATGTGCAACGAAATCCTACCCGTTTTCACGGAATGGTATGATAAGTTCTCTTTGGTACGTCATACATGAACTCATGCTTTTGCGAGCTCCTGCAGCTTGTCACGTTCTTCTCGTTTGGATCTAGACGAACTTAACAACTCGTCTGCACTCGACGGAAGAAGATGAAAAGAGTAAAAAAGAGGCTCACCGCAAGTTTGCCCTCTTCATGATTCATAAATTAATCGCAAACCATATAAAATTTGCAGCGCAAGAATCTCCGAAATCAGATAGACACACGACACGGGAACCGACATTCTTGATTTCGGGCCAGACTTGCAGGCATACAAAAGGGCGAACAAGTTTTGGACAGCCAAGTGTTATTCTTTAGTTTTCAAGAAGAGATGCATCCAAACGACTGGTCATTGGACAAACTAAAGGGGCAAGAAAGTGAGACAACACGAGGAGAACAGGAAGGAGGCAAAGAGAGCGATACAGCTACTGATGATCTTGCTTTTCTTATCTGTACATGGAAGTTTGTTGCCGACAATTAGATTTAAAAATCCAATGTTGTCACAGATGATGTCTACTAGCTACCTGTAACTATGATTACAACACAAGTACCAGAAATATAAAAAAAAAAAAGAAAAGGAAAGAAGGAATTCGGTTGCTGAACTCCTCTGCCGTCAAGGCAAAGGCCTCTCGAACTCTGCCATCAGCTGGAGGACCGCGAAGTAGGCTTTGCAAGCTAGTGATTGGGTACGAGAGGTGAAACAAGACGACTCGTGATATTTGATGAACGCATTTCTCTTGTGAAGTTCAATCATGTTGCAGAAGGTCAAGAAATTGCTAACAGATGAGTTCGTGCTTAATCGTGTGACCTGTACCATCAATAGGATGAAATTGAGGCGGCATTGCGAAGGCGGGGAATCCCGAATGTATATATAGCGCGCGGTTGATATTCAATGAGGAATTGATCCTACAAGAGACTAATTATCTCGAGTTCCTGCATGCAGCGGGCAGCTGTCTGCTATAGTAACTGGGCATGGTTTCTTATATTTTTTCAGGAGAAGCAGCCGAAATTTCCGAGGCATCAAGGTGCTAAATTTTACCAGTAATAACTAACAAGCAGACCAAGATGTCCAATAATGGAAACTGCCATATGACAGGAAATCAGACAGCCGGATTTCCAACCCGTAGGTTGTCGTTTGAGCACACATTAGCCAGCCATACTATCTTAAATCATGACTATCTATGGTGGTTCAGAGAAGGAACAGGAGCAATCGATCACCGCTATATGTGTAAAACGTTCCAGCAACTGGTGAAAACCTTATTTTTTTTATTTGATCAAGAGAGTGTTCAGCACTCTGAAATGCGATTTGGACATTCTACAGGACTGCAAGCACATTAGTAAAGTTACAAGGAATAGTACTGTAGATTCTATCTACATTGTGTACAAGGACTTTTATCTATTGACAAAGATGCAGAAGTCAGAACTATGCTAGATACTCCGCAAACGCGGATCAGATATTGACACCTTTGGACCACCTGATTCCATACCAGCAAGACAATTGGCCAACATCGACCTCGTGCAAGATGCCACTTCTTTAGGATCACACAAAAACAATGGAGACTTTGGGTCTAGATGCTACGACGGCCTGCCAAAAGCAGGGATCCCATACTTCTGAAACCATTCGGGCATGCGAAAACGTTCGTAGAGCACGGGCCTCACATCTCTCTGCATAGAAAGGTGCTTCAGGAGTGGAAGCAGGACCTCCAGAAGCTGAAGCAGATGAGGAATATTGAGCAAAGTGATTGATCATAATGAAGAATTTATGGTTAAAAGTTATACCGAGAATAATCCGACTACCTGATCATCGGGCGGCTGTCCAGCAGTAAAAGGAATGCATGGAATCCCGTTGACTGGCTGCAGCAAGAAACTGAACGGGTTGTTATCGACAATGACTATTCGGCTGAGATCCTTTGAGAGGCAAGAAAGATCCTTCACATGCTCCCGATACGCCCTGCATGTTAGGATCAGGATACCAGCAACTTAGATAAGTCCATATGAAGGTGAGTCATGTACCAATACTGGAGATACGTCAGATTCCAGATTGATTAGGATAAATTACTCTAGGTGATATTACTTGAGCATTGCATGAGGCGATGGCTTAGGATACACCTAAAGATACCAAAATCTAAATCAATAACTAGCCAACATTACTTGTCAGATCTTGCTAAAAGGATATAAAAATCAGTAACGAATGACCTTTAACTCATCTAGCTGAGGATAAGGAGAAGGCATCGCAGATAACAATTTATTTAATTTAAGCCCCTAAATACCTTCAGAAGAATGGTGAACCTATTAGTTGAGACTGCTATAAGCATTTCAAGCTCTTTCTGTAGCCAACACTTAAGACTTATATTCTAAATCACCTTATAAAGCTTCAGTCTATGTATACCATGTGAAGAAATACCTGCTTTCTCTCGAATCATTCATCCGAGATTTTTTTGAATGATGACACATCCATCATATCGTCCTAAAACTCAGTACTCTCGTTTTTTTCAACGTATTGATATTTCATTACCAGATTCAGAGGTGAAAACCTCAAGAAATCAGGGCACTCTCAGGAGGAGAGACACGGATTTATGTTCCCATTCTCATTGTAAAAAGTCACTTATCACAGAGAAAGCAGATAGGACAAGGTGTAAAGTAAGCTTACGTGCTAATTGTTGAAGGTCGATAAAGTCGCTGACTAAATCTATTCTCTACGTCTATTGTGTCAACAAGCGGTCTTGCATATCCTGTAGCCATGAACATTTGAGTTATTGAACCTCAATTGCAATCGGCATAAAAGAAAAACTTGAAAAATCATGCAGACAGATAACAACCTTCAAGTCCAGCTGTAAACAGCACGAGATCCGCAAACTCATGGAGCTGTTTTAAGAATTCTCGCAGGCCCGGGCGCTCAAACACCGTCACAAGATTGACCTTAGGCTTTCCTTCAGAGTCCTTTTGAAGCGTAATAAATACTCAAGGAAACAAGAATCAAGACAACTCATCGGAGGAGATACCAAGACAATATCAGTCAAATCAAAACCGATTATGTCTAGAATGTAAAGCACCTTCTCTGAAGAAATGCATTCTAGGTCAAACCACTTCAATCCGGCTTCCACTGCTCGGTCACGAATAGCAGCAGGCAGACTCAGCGTCTCGTATGCACATATTAGAGTTTCATCTAAATCAAGCACTACCTGCATTGCATGTGTTTAATTAGTATCATGCTTGCACACGATGCTAAAAGACTATACGCTGAACACATTCAATCCCACCCCGCTTGTATACCCGAAAGAAACAGAACACATTCAATTTCACTTTTTCTCAAGTGATTTCAATCTTTTCTCCGCCTGCTCGTAGATATTATTTCACAGTACTTAAAAATCTTTAGTCACCACAGTTAATACATGCGAAAATGTCAACAAATTGATAAGCTTAGATATGATTGACCCAAATACACGACATTACCATGCAATTGATCACTCTATCTGTCTGTCTCTCTCTCTCTCTCTCACACACACACATGCGCCAGCGCGCGCACACAAATACAGAAATCATCAATAGATTTTCAAAAGAAGAACACAAATCCCAATCAAAGTACAAGATGACATCCTGAAAATGATTCCATATTTAGCTGAATAAAAGAGTACATAGCAACTTCAATCAAGCCTAATTAACACCAGTGAGACTACATCAACAAAACCTATTCAAATTAATCTTATCCCCAGTTTCCTCCCTTTAACATAGCTATACATTGAATATCAGTCACGGCATAAAGAAAGTTCCGACCTTTAATCAAGCAGCTAGAAGGGAAAAGCAAATTTCGTTACCGTGAGCCTCTCCACGGGTTCGGAAGAATCAGCGCCTTCGTCGGCAGCAGCGACACCGGCGGGCGGATCCTGGACGGGCAGCTCGGTGAGGGGCAGGGGCTTGAAGGAGGGAAAGCGGGAGAGGAGGAAGTCGCGAGTCCCGAGAGCCGTGGCGATGCGCAAGAAGAACTGGAAGAAGAAGGAGAGCAAGTCCCACAGCGACCTCCACAGCTGGATCGTCGTCGGGGGCGACTGGGTCAACTCGGCAGACATCTCTCTGGTTCTGAACGAAGAAGATGGACAAACAAGAACCTGGGTCTGTGCGGGCGGGTGTGGTTCGTTAATGGTTTGTGTCAGAAAATCACAGAAGCCCAATCTCTTTGTCCGTCGTGCTCCGAGACACACAAAGCCGAGAGAGAGAGAGAGAGAGAGAGAGAGAGAGAGAGACAGGGAGAGACGGAGGACGCGCCAACATGGCGACTGAGGAAGAAAACCAAAGTCATATGATGTCTCGGCGTCGTAGGTCAGACGCGGTTAACGTAATTCTTGATGCAATAAGAAAATTGCAGCTGTGAAAAAGCGAGGCACCCCACTTGTACTCCCGAAAGCAACAACAAGAGCAGCCATATCAGCAGCTCGAGCCTCGTGTCACCCAGTGCTTCGAGCTCGTCCAAGATGGAAATGGGATCTGTTAAAAAAAAAACAATAGAGCCAAAGATAATATCTAGAGATTGCCATCACGCACCGATTCAAAGGCGTGGCCTTGAGGAGGACGAGATGGTGATTCTTGGAAAAAGGTCAAGGTGAAAAGGATGTCTCTGCATCAATTGGACACGCTACTGAAATATCTACGCATACTTTTATAAAAATTTGATCTTTAAATTACATCTCCATAATCAGGAGTAGCTTGCTCTGCGAGTGGGACTTGCCCACATGAAAACCAAAAAAAACTAAGGAGAAGGGAAGGACCCAAAAGAAAACACTTGTTCGCACCAGCTTTGTTTGCTTGGGGGTTGGAAATAGGTAGTAGTTGATTTCTCTTTCTTTAATTCTTCAATTATTGGAAACGAAATGACCATATATTTTCACGAAACCATACCAAACTTGGTATCAAACTCTAGTTGGTCGAATTGAGAGGTCTGGGCGCTCGGTTGAAGGACTAAGTCGCCATTTGATATGTAATTTCGAAACCTAATACCGTGTATGTTTTTACCTCATATCTTATACTAGTCGTGGCATGTGTCGGAGTGGAACCTCTAATGGGAACTAGTAATTTCTAGTTTGTCGGGCGTTTTAGAACGTAGTCCTCTGTATTTCTTTTTTTTTTTACCCCCTTTGCACAAACAAAAACACTTCCTTTCGTGCCCGAGTGGATCAAATTTTCCAAAGTAGTGAACACGTTCGTGTGGTATGAACACGTTCTCCCATGTCATCACCTAATAAAACATTGCGAAAGTCGTGATCCATCTCTTTTCCGATAGGCATATGCCCACTTTCCGAGGACCAACCAAAAGGAGATAACATTGGTGTCAATTTGATGATGTTTGCCGAACAGAGGAGCTAACCCTCAACCGGATCAGACCGAAAGAAACAGGCCGAGGTTAGATAGTGACTGATTATGGACAATCAGAGTGCATGATTGGCCAAGATTTTTCTTCTTCTTTCTTTTTTTGATAGATTAATAGTTTTGGAAGCATTGTGGGTACAAGTTCAGATGCTTCCTCTATCTCTCTGTTTTCTTGTTTATATTAAACAAGAGCTGATTCTTTCAACTAACTTAGTATCAGGACATCACTCTTGCCATGAAACAATGGTAACTTTCTGTCAATTGGATTTTTGTGTTGATCCACTCAATTGATAGAAGCAACAGTGCAATTTCCAACCAACTTTTTCCGGCCCTTTGTCGCTAAGCAATTCCTCAGTAGCCACACCACAAGTCTTACAGGAACTATTCAGTCAATGATGTACACCAAATTTAAAACTGAGATTGATCTGATCTAAGATTTTCAGCTTGACTTCTTCAACCCAATTCGGGTGTTTGCTCACTCATTTCGTATATAGTATCGTTAGCAGGAGATCCGATGTTAATTGGAATGAGGTACAAGAATTTTTTTTTTTATCTCATATATTGAACAATCTCAATTAACAAGATGTAACCTCAAGCATGTTTACAACAACTCTTAATCTTTACAAGCTCGGATCACCTGGAGATGGAAGGCTCTGTATCGGGAGCTTTGTACAGAGGAAAAAAAAATTATGTGAACAAGCCAAAAAATTAACATTGCTCTGTATGCTGCATGTACACTAAAGCTGTTCTAATTTTCAGTGCTCAAATAATAGCACTTGCCAATCGATATGTTTCAAAACTTATTGGCATGACCTGTATATCAGCAAGAGAAAGAGTACTTGTGTGAAAGCCACGGATGCTCCAATGCCTCGCTCGCAGTAGGACGCCTCTTGGGGTCGATCTCCAGCAAGTTCCTCAAGAAGTCGAGAAACCCAATATCAGAAACCTGTACATGTCCTTCCAACGACGACTCCTCGGGAATTATGTACTCCAATTGATTTGTCTCCTGCCAAGAAAATGGGAAATATAGAAAAGAGTGAGACAAGAATTATGATTAGTGGTCTTCATTGGATATTCAGTTCCGTGAGTCGACACAATTTAACCGTATGCACACACTTTCTTTTTCAAACCAATGTTAAAAGTTCCGCAAGCCTTCACTGAAACATAAAACCAAAATTGAGGTTAAACAGTCGAGGTACATGCAACTCACCTCGTTAATGTAGTAGAGATCATATTCCTCCGTGAAATACTTAGGTGTCTCCTGTCCTTGTTCGAGCATCTCCTGATCAATGGGACCGAGCATGCCGATCATGCGTGCTAGAATCATTACAATTGCATCATTTGGAAATAACACCTGAAAAAAATCAATCAGAGAAACAGCAATGGATCATGAACTTGTTTGCTTCAAGTACACATCCAAGAAAGGGGTAGCGACTGAACGAATAGGAGATGGCACAGAAGTCATTCATAGTCATTAGTCATAAAAGCATAGTCCACCATTAAAGTTAAATCCAACATCTAGACTGCGTATGACCGTGAAGGGAGAAAGTTGTACATACTTCGCCAGAGCAAAGTTCCGCCAAGATGCAGCCAAGGGACCAAATGTCGATCTTTTGGTCATAAGGAAGGCCCAGTATGACTTCGGGAGCTCTATAGGAACGAGACTGGACGTAGAGGCACAAGTTGTCTGATTTAAAGCAACTGCTTCCAAGATCAATGACTTTAATCTCAGATCTTCTATAACTTTTAATGAGAATGTTCTCGGGCTTTAGGTCACAGTGTATAATCCCCAGTTGATGCAAGTAGTCCAGTGCCTCTAAACACTGACGAGTTATAACCTGTAGGTACAAAGATTAAAATGCCCTAGTTACATTTTCCACAATTCCACTTCTATGGACAAAGGCCGTATAGGATTAAGAAAAACCAACTCCACGGATGAAGTCTCTTGGCCCATAAAGGAACTCGAATTTGGCAGAAAACAGTCAGACGGAAAGAACAAATGACAATAATAGATCGGAGAGAACTACTGAGTCAAGCTATACTGAAATCGACCTGCAATCTATTCAGGTTGAAATAAGCTTCCCCACCAGATTCTTGGTTATACTTCTGAAATTCATAAAGATTTGATCGAAGAAGTTCACAAACAATGAACAGATGCTCCTGCAAAGTTGTATCAACAGGTTAGGAAAATAAAAAAGGAAATAAGTGATATCAAACACAAGCGCCCATGTCCGGAGACAGGGGGTAAAAAATCGAACTCCTACCAATTGGGCTGTGCTATATGCATTAGTTCTATTCCATGGTAGTCCAATTTGTGCTTTGTCCTTGTGAGTAATCATGTTTCAATCTACAGACGGATATGACAAGGAGAATTCCTACCTTCTGAAAAACTATTCGTAATACAGTGCACTCTGTGTATTATCAACTCAAGCAATTCACTTTGTTCATAAAAGTAATAAGCACACTGTACGCATTAACAGCTCTGATGGCACTCATTTCGTTTGCAAAAGGGTTAGGCACATGCCCATGAATAGTGAATGATACTATTCAACCTAAATATCCTTTGTAAAACCTGTTCAAAGTATTACAGGAGAAACAGCTGATACACGGCGAAAAGGATTTTTTATTTCTTGTACCAATTGAAGTTCAAATGGGTGCAGAGGTACACCAACTATATACGATATTAATTAATTTCTCTAGTAACAAATGGCATAGTTTGCAAGAGACATTCATCATATCCATCAATGCCCTACCTGATGATAAAAGTAGTCGTAGAGGCGCAGTATGTGGCATTCGTCAGCAGGATCATGCTTATTTACCAGCTTCAAAAGTTTTATTTCATCCAAACTCTGATCGAAGAAATCTTTATCATTTTTTATGATCTTCAGACAGACATCCACGCCTGTATACAAATCGTGTGCTTGAACAACCTTACTGAAAGCAGCGGAGCCAAGGTACTCTGTAACATAATATCTCCCTGCGATTACAGTATTTAGCACGATGGGCAGATCCTTGTTTTCTTCAAATCCAGTCCTGTACATGGCATAACATGTGAGTGCAAGTGTCCGTACCAATCAAAATTGTACAAGCGAGCTTCAAACCTTGATTTAGTAGAATCTTAAGGCAAGGGCAAATGCGATTGTGGAATACAACATGAAAAGATAAACCACTATCTATATTCTTCTTGTGTTCGAGAAAATGAACTATATCAATAGAGGCTCTTCTACTGAGTAGAATTTGCTAAAATGGATCACAGAGTTACAAAGTGCGAATTCCCATTCGTTATTAATACATATATGGCTTTTAATAGGTCGATTCATCTGCTCCTAAAATATCCTGATGAAAATTAATATCACTAGTAAAACATGTGGATATACCTGTTTCTACGGTGTATGATCCTCAAGTCAAAGATTTCGTATTCATCTTCCCGATTTTCTTGCATTAAAATCTCATCAGCAAAAACACTCTCCTCCCCTTGGCCTCCAACAGCTTCAGGATTGCCGATATCTCCATTCTCTATTGGATCATCAACATCTTCATTTTCGTCGATATTTTCAAATATAAACTCTTCCCCGCGATCCCCTTTATGTAAATCAGAGCTACTTCGAGGCCGATCAACAGAATCATCAGGAGTGTGCTTCGTTGCGTATCTGTTAGAACTCGTATTTGCTATATGTTTGGTGCCAGAATGATCTTCAGAGCACACACCTTCTACATCCTTCAACTTGAAGCCGATTGTGTCATTGCTTTGAAGGTTCAAATAGCTTCCATACATGAGACCTCCCCCATATGGCGTGGAATCCTCTTCCTTACCTTTAAAGCGTTCGCACTGACCCTCTTCATCAAAATGACGACTTTCAAATACATGAAGCTTTTGTCCTTCATTTGCAAAGGCCATGTCATAGAGACTAGGCTTATCTGAGTAATCAACATTTGAATCCGATCGAAATATATCATGGGTGCCATTACAATTTTCTGAATTATCGAGATATTCCTGCGACTCTAAATTCGTAATGAACTTATCCTCAGTCGGGCAGCCAAAGGGCTCTGATCCTTGAAAGGATGGAGTCAAGAAGTGTCCTTCATCCTTGTCGTCGTACCAGTACAAGTCATTTTGCAGATCATAATCGTTGTATTCACATGCCGTGCCGAACTGAGACAGTCTATCAGAAGAAGCATCAGAATTGGCTCTAGATACAGATCGAACTCCATATGGATTGACGAACTCTGCAAACACAAAAGGAAACGACGTGCAAGATGTCTATAAGATTTTGTG